CCAGCCCAACTTCCCTCCTCCACGTCAGGCCTTCTGGGGTGGTGAGGCAGGTCCCCCAGTCCCGATAGCCACACTCTGCTCTCCAGTCCACCCTGTACCAGGGAGCTCTGCACCTCTGTGAAAGGGAAGAATGAAGATTGCCCTGGGAATTCATATTGTAAAACATCTAAGAAAAACCCTATGAGTGTTCACTAAATAAATAAGTAAATTTTTTGGTACTGTCATGTAGATTAAAGTAGAGCTCTATCAGCAAATAGAGACAACGGCAGAGGTAAGTTTTTCTTTCTTTTTCTTCCTTCCTTTCTTTCTTTTAATGTATTTGGTGCAGGGTTTCACTATGCAGCTTGGACTCATAGTGATCCTCCTGTGTTCAGCCCCCCTAGTGCTGTGATCACAGCATGTGCCACCATGCCAGACCTGGTGGCCGGCCCAGCACACCCGGGGGCGGGGCCAGCGTGGCATGTGGTGTGGATCAAACCCATGCCTGTGCTTGCCTAAGCAGATGCTTAGTCCACTCAGCTACCTCTCTGGCCCAAGCTTTCCTTCTTAACAGAAGATGTGAACCAGGTGGTAACACACTTTCACTGAATGTCCCTTCTCAGTGACAGCCCTAACACGTGTGTGCTTAGGCACAGCCCAAGTGCTCACAGGATACGTGGACATCTTTGAGCAACTATGCAGAGCTTTAAGTTTTCACATTCAGGATTTTTACTTAACTTTCCGGCAGACAGTTTAAATACTTCCTCCATCCTTCCCTTTAAATTAGTGTGGTCATTCTCCATAATAAACTACTGAAAGAGAAGCTTTGGTTAAGATCAGGATGAAATAAACCAAAACAAAAAGAAAACAGCAGTGACAGCAGCAACAACAGCCATCCCCACCATCATCACAAAGCACTGCTGCCTTGAAAAAAACACTTTCATCAGCTGCATTCAGACAGGAATGCACGCTACTGCTGGGCTGCTGCGGGTGGTTCCCTGGGGGCTGGTGCTCCCCCCCTCCTGCAGGTGGCAGAGCCACAGTCAGCTCCCTCCGCTGCACAGTAGCTGAAGGCCTGGATCAGGACACTGGTGTTTGGACTCATTATAACAACCTGCTCATCCACCCCCCAAGCAGAACTTGAGCGGGGCTCTCCTGCTGTGGTGTTTCCGAGGCTGTGCTCCGGCCATGGCCCTCTTGTCTGTGCTGGGAAGCCACCCTGGGCAGACACTACACTGGATGCTCTGCTTTGGAATGAATAGCTTAGAGAAAAGATCAAAGAACTGTGGTCATCCTAGTTAACCCATTTCCCGTTTGTCCTGAGAATACCTGCTGGTGGTGTTCGTAGAAAAGCATTTACCCAAAGAAAACACTCAAATTACAATCCTAACCTTACCCCCCCCACATTTGCTGCAAAATAGTTCATTTACATGATTATTTTTTGCATTGCTATAGCGTACAGATAATCTTTGGAAACAAAACACATCATTTTGTTTATAGCATTCTGTTTCGAGGAGGGGTAGTTTTTGCTTACAAAAGACACTGATTCTCCATCACTGAAGATTACGTGGATGTCGGCAACATGCTGCACTTTGTTCTTCTAAGGGGGAGTTAACCCTGGGGAGCAATCAAGGCCAGAAGCTGTGACGCTCTTCTTGAAGAGGAACAGTGTACTCAGGAGCAGCAAGCTCGCTGTTCAGAGTTGAGATCTGCATGCTTTTTGATGCATCAACAACAGCCAGGCTGGCATCTCCTACTGGTGGCCAACACTGTCTGCGGACATAGCCCCCAGTGCCACTGCCTCCAAACTCTGCCCTCACCTGCCTGGAAGGCATCCTGATGCCCTGGGCACACTGGCTGGCTTCTCAACCACATCTTAAATACAGGAAGCACTGACCTCTGGAAGTCTCCTGATCCTGCTTTCAGCGAAGCGTGGTTGCATTGCTGTTCCAAGCTGAGGACCGTTAATATGCTGGCTTCGCCACCAGTCGTTCTTAGATGCCCAGTGACAACCAGAGCTAAGTCTTGCTCCACTTCCCACAGCATACTCATTCTCTAGGGGGACCACTTGGCAAAAGTGCCCATGCAATTAGTCCTCAGAATTACCACGTTAGGGGCCGGGGAGATGGCTCAGTGGAATAAGCGCTTCCCTGGCAAGCGCAAGGGCCTGAGTTCAATCCCCAGTTCCGCAAAAAAAAAAAAAAAAAAAAAAAAAAGAATTACCACGTTGGCTTCTAGTGTCATCTTTTGGACTTCAGACGTGGGTACTAACCATGCTACAAAAGTCACAGTGCAGGCTCCTCAGGGAGCCAGTCAGTGGCTGTGATATGTCTGCTTTACCCCCAAGCTCCTGAGCTTCCACCCCCGGCTCCCATTTGTACATACCTGCACTTCCTGCTCACTGGGACTGAGGGCAATCTGGGCATGAGCCCTGCTCAGGACATGACTGACTGGCCCTGGTAAAAACAGATGAAAGATGTTATTCTTAGTGTGTTTTGTAGGACAGAAAATGGAGAAAGTTGGAGAGGCTCAGGGTGGAGAACTTTGGGCCTCTGCTTCCTTCATATGATCAGACTCTGATGGACGTGGGAGGGGGCTACACAGAGCTTTCGTAAGGATGAAACATTCAAAGGGTCAGATTGGAAAAATCAGATGAAGAATCAATGGTAAAATAACCTAATTATGTTGTCTTGATTCTATAAATTGAGGAGGCTGAGGCTAGATGACTCTAAATGCACATGATCTTTAATAATCATTAAACTTCCTGGTGTAGTCAGCTGACTCAGAGCGGAATGTAGATGTTAATGTGCTTAGACTAAAAATGGTGTAATGCAGGAGAATCCTCAGGTGTCATTTGCTTGATTAAAATTCCAAGGCTGCCTGTGTGACTCACACAGGCGGAGCCTTTATCCATTTCCTTTGCCCCCTGACCATTGTTACTTCTTATCTCTGAGTGTGACATACCAGTGGCAGCTGGTGCCACAAGCATTGCAGTTTGTTTTTTAGTGGGAGAATTATGACAAGTACCGTTAGCATTCATGAGCAGGTGACCTGCCCCAGAGTGCATCCTTGACCAGTGCTGGTGAAAGCATAGAGATCTAATTCTGAACAACAATTCTACTGGGATTGAGGAACTGAAGGATTTTGAGAATTCACCTTTGCTTGTGGATTAAGTAAAGGAGTTAAAAGTCATAGCTTGAAGGGTAGCAGATGGAAAGGGTAGGGGTTCTCAATCCAGGGGACTATTATGTCAATCTAAGAAGTGTTCAGAGTAATTTTAAACAAGCATCCCAGCTGGTGAGATAGCGTAGTGGTTTACGCATTGGGCTCTACAGCAAGAGGTCATAGGTTTGAGTCTTAAACAAGCACCCCTACGTTGTGAGCCAAAGTCAGATGCCCAGCGGCTCAGCCACAGGACAGATCAGCAGAGAACTGCTTGGAAATTTGCTGGCTTCTACAGAAGCAGCTGCCAAAGGTCCCCTCCCAGGACTGTTTCAGTCATTGTTTGGTATAATGAGATTGTGCAGTAGAAAAGAAGACAAAGATATGACTGTTGGCGGAACAGAACAACAGGTGTCACCCAGAGTCCCTGTGGAGTAAAGAGCAGGTGCCACATAGCGAGAAACACTGAGTTCCCAGCAGATCTTTGTTAATATCTGGACAGCTATTAATTTTACAGAGCATTTAATTAGTATGTCTTTGGTACATCAGAATTGGGCATTTTTTATTTACCTTTGTCCTCCACTTGGGAAGACGATTGAAGCGATAGCTCTATTTAGTTTTCCAAGTAGTTGAAATTCTTAGCAATGACCCAACAGAGTGCTACTGATGGTTATCGGCTGAGTGTCTGGGATTACTTCCTGGCTGAACTATTGGCCAGCTTTGTGATTTTGAGTAAGTCCCTTAACCATTCTGGTCCTCAGTTGTCTCACCAATGAAATGGGACTGGGCAGCACCCTCTGTGCTAGCCCCTACTGACACGTGTCACTGATTTCACTAGCCATTCAGTGGCCCTGGGAAGAGCACAAGCACACAGGTTATTGTTCCTGACACTGACTCTTTGGGTCCTTCTTCCACCAGGTATGATGAGCAAGGTAAGCAAGTAAACTAAATCTCAGTGGCATAAAATCTTTTCCATCTCTGACTTCAGTTTTTCTTTCCAGCGCCAGTTGTTCAGGGCATTGTAAGGATGTCAGTTCATTCTTTCTTTTTTTCTTTCTTTTTTTTTTTTTTAGGAGCAGAATATATTTATTGAAATAAAGAAAGCTCCTGTCCTGAGAGAGGGATAGGAGAGGACCCCCGAGCAGGTAGTTCCCCCGCTAAACAAAGGAAGAGTGTATTCTACTTTTTTTTTTTTCAGTACTGGGGATTGAACTCAAGACCTTGTGCTTGCTAGGCAAGCGCTTATTCTACTGAGCTGTCTCCTTAGCCCTAGTTCATTCTTTCTTATGCATATTTTTTTCTGGGTTATTAGCTATGAGATTGTATGGCTTAACATTGTGAATAGATAAACCTGTATTGATTGTTTTCCATTAACCATGGGCTGTTAGCTAAGAGATTTGGTGTGTGACAGATGAAGGAATTTCCCCCACCTTCTTGGAATCTCCCAGAGCAGGGCACTGGTTAGTTTTTAGTAAGACAGTGCTTCAGAGGACCAGGAATTCAGGGAATTCTATCACTGGGTAGAGGAAAAAGGAATAGAAGAGGAAACCTGGGGACTAGAAAATTGCAGCTCCGTTGGATGAAAGTTGGCTTTGTTTAGTGCCCAACTTCTCAGATTTTCTTTGGCTGAGTGGGCTTGGTGGAGCACTGGCCCGAGAGCATTGCTTAGCAACAAGATTTTGGGCCGCCTGATTCTCAGTCAAACAACCCATCAGTTCTAGCCTTCCCTCCACTGGCCTTCAGAGCCTCCTATTAGACAATTAAGTATGTGGCGAGGGAGGGACCAGAGACAGGGCAAAGTTTAATCATTCAGCGAGGCCGGCTGGAGGTATTTAGTCGAAAGCACCTGGCTCCTGGGCTGAACTGGAAGTGTTCAGCACTGCCTGGGAGACCAGGCGGTAAACAGTGAACAGAAATCGCTGGTGGTCTCAGGAGAAACCCACCTTGGTGATCATGTTTGCGGTACACCTGGTGGCGTTTTACTTCACCAAGCTGAAGGAGGACCAGATCAAGAAGGTAAGGATTCCCGGAGCTCCTTCTTCACTGACAGAACTGATTGCCTAATTCAAATGGATAAAGAGCTGGGGTGTGGCTTAGGGGCACAGCACCTGCCTGGCACACACTAGGCCCTGAGTTTGATTTTTTTAAAAAAGGATTTAGAGAATGTATTAGAAAAGATATCAGGAGCCCAGAGGGGAATTGGGTATGGAAGCACATGCCTGTAATTCCAGCTACTCAGAAGGCTGAAGCAGCAGGAACACAGGAATAAGCCCAGCCCGGGGAACATAGCAAGATCCTACCTGAAAAGCCAGAACTTGGAGGAGAAAAGAAAGTCAATCTCCTAAACTCCTGGCTGTTGCATTGTGTCCTGAACCCAGAATTCTACTCAAAACTTCCCCACAGATATTCCCAAGCAGGGGTGAGGAGAATCTTTAGAAAACCCAAAGAGGTAGGTCCTCTATTCAGGGATGCTGGGGCTGGGGCAGTCATTTGTAAAGAAGTTTTAAGAACTTCTGGAGTAGATCTGATTATTCATGTATTTGTAAATATAAAATACAGGTACCCAAAGGGAAACAAGTTTTCTTTCTTTATTTTTTTTCTGGTGGGGTCTCACTAGGCTGTTCAGGCTGGTCTTAACCTTCTGTGCTCAAGCGATCATCCCGCTTCAGGCTCTTGCTAGCTGGGACTGTCACCATGAGCCACTGTGTCTGGCTGAGTTGTCATTGTAATGTGTGAAATTGGAACAGTTATTATTGTTCTGAGGTATTTGCCAATGACAAATAGTGATGTGCATCATTTTGTCACTTGGCCCCAGGAATTAGTCTACAAAATCCACTCTAAGGTGGGGTAAGTAGGATTCTCTCCCGGAGCTGCGGTGCACCCCGCCTGGCTGCCTGTCTCGCTCCCTGGCTGTTGGCAGCAGGGCCCCGGGCTCTGGCACCTCTGGGCCTATAGATAACAGAAGTCTTCCTGGTACGTCGACTCAGCCGAGGTCACCCAGGTTGTTCGGGTGAAATGAGGAGGACACCTAGGCCAGGAGGCGCCTCTTCCAGACTTTTCACTTGCCACAGTGCCTTCCACCTTCACAGTGAGGAGAGGCCTGGCCGGGAAGCCCTCGTGTGGGACAAATTCTCACTCATTCTTTTCATTAGAATGTTGGGTGAGAGGTTGCAGCAAATTTAAAAATATAAATAAAAATATAAATCAGTTCCAATTTAACCTGCTTAACTTTCCCTTGTCGATGAGATTCACAGAGCTCTCTGTCGGCTACTTAAGAATGTAGAAGTCCTCCGGCTCCTCTTCAGAGTTTGCTTTGTCACCATCTGTAGAGATGTAAACTGCACAGTGCAGCGTCTCTCCCACCCCCAAGGGGAGCCTTTGGGACCTTGAAATCTTGGTTCTGCAAAGCCATTTGTTTCATTTCCGTGGCCCCGTTGGGATGGTTGACCTTTTGTTCTGTCGCAGGGGAAGGTGGAACATGCTTGTCCACCCCCACAGGTGAGGCCCCTGTGGAAACTCAGGCTCCCCTGACGTGTTTGTTGCAGGTCCTTCTGAAAGAAGGGTCAGCCTTTGTCAATATCCAGAGTGGACCTTTCCCCTGGCTGTGGGAGGTACCTCATAGCTGCCCTAAGGGAGGGCTCAGCCAGACTGCAGGTCCTGTGGGTTTATGGTTGTTGGACAGAGTCACAGGATCTGAAAACTTTCCTTCCTGTGGCAAAAACTTGCCTAGGCAAAAGACGCAGTGTGGCCAGGCATGCCAGTGGTGGCACATGCCTATAATCCCAGCATTTGGAGGCTGAGGCAGGCAGACTGATATGAGTTCAAGACCAGCCTGAGCTACAAAGTGAGCTCAAGGCCAGCCTGAACTGCATAGTGAGACCCTGTCTCAAAGACATTAAAAAAAAAAAAAAAAAAGGCACAGTGAGTTCCCACCTGTAGCTGGGCAGCCAGTACCCGCCTTACTTGGCATTCTTCATGCCCCTGGACCATCTTTATCTGTGAGGGATGCTGTTCCAATCCTGAAACAGGTTTTTACAATCTTCTATTTTAAGACAAAAATAAAGCAAAAATAAAAGAAGAAAAGAGAAAGCACTCTGACAGCTTCTTTTCCAGTCCAATGTATTGATGTTATTTGACCTATTGATAACACTGGCCAGGCCTGGTCACTGACCTGCACCTTGCTTGGCCATAACAACAGGACTAGTTAAGTTTTCAATGTGTATTTTTTACAGTTTAGTGAGTCAATAAGTGAACATTATGAAAACAAGGAAATGCTACCCTTCATTTCATGTTTAATTTACCTCTAACCATGAACATATGTTAACCATATGGATATCTTCGTAGTCTTTTTCCACAGTGTTTGTTTTTATGGCTATATTAATAATGGGCTGCATATATAGTTCTGCATCTTGCCTCCCTTTATTATTATACTGTATTATTATACTGTGTATTATTATACTGTAACCACTTATGGACATTTTTCCTTTATCGTCATGCTTATCTTTTAATATCTTCTGAGTATTCAGTTAGGTGGACATGTCATAATTTATTTATTTATTTTTTCATAATTTTATTGATAAACAGATAGCAATGAGACAGTTTCAAATCAAATCGCTAGGACAGTTTCAATAACTAACACATTGCATACATTCTTCTTAGTGGTTAATTACTATAGTCATAATTTATTTAACTGTCCCCTCTAGGATATTCAGTCATCCTTGGGTTGGGGAGATAGCTCAGCAGCGTAAGCACCAGCCTGGCAAGTGCAAGGTCCTGAGTTTGATTCCCCCATACAAAAAAAAGCCAAATACAGTTAAAAAAAAAAATCACTATGATAAACATTGGTACATATTTACTGTTCTCCATAATTAAGATTATTTCTTGAGAACAGAGTTACAGAAGTGAAATCAGTAGGCCAAATAGTTGAAACACTTTATGACTCTCGATTCCTAATGTCAGACCTTTGGACTAAGTGCTCTGGAAGGCCCCTTCCAGCTCCTACATTCTATGACTGAACACTTGTGAACTTCCGGATTTTGAATTTGCTTTTTCTAAGGTAACTGTGGTGCTTATTGGCCCTCTTGCTTAGACGTCCCTGATGTGTTTTGCTACTCTCTCCAGGAGTGAAGCTGTTTTCCTATAATATAAACTCTCTCCTTTAGTGCCTGAGACTGTCCCTGGTTAAACACGCCTGGGTCACCTGTTTGGATTTCTTTTGGTACCAACATATGTTTCATTATTGCCTTCTAGCTAGTGATGAGAGCATGCTATGCAAAGTACACAAAACAAAATAAAAAACTGCTAAGTTGGCATTCTTTCTGCCCTAGTTTTAATTTATTGAAAGAGCAGCAAAGGCTTAAATAATGGTGTTAGACTGTAGCTCACGAACGACCCCAAAAGGCCCTCAGGGACCATGATTTATGTGGAAATATGACATTCTATAGCTGCCTCAGTAAGCCCTTTATTGTCTTAGACTGAGCAAAAAAGACTGTGGGTTCAGGGGCACTAGTTGAGGGGCTCTGGCCTGCTGCTAAAAGGTCAAGGGCTGTTCCCACGCAGGGCTTCCTACCCTCTCCTAACCCCAATCACTTGAGTCACATCCCTTCTGTACAGTGTTTTCTATTTGTGCATAGCTGTACCAACCAATTAGTCGTCAACAGACTCAGGGGCAGTAGGAAGCTCTTAATGAAGCCTGACCTGGTTACATGGTAGCTTCTCAAACATGCTGAAGGCTCAATTGTCCTCTTTGTTAATGATTCTCTAATGGGTTTCCGGCCTTTTTCTGGCCACCAGGTTCCCAGAACCACCAGGCCATTTCACTGAATTAGGTCTGTCTTGAGGCCTAGCTAATTGCTGGCCACCTGTCCTAGGATTAAGGTGCTGTGAACTCTCGGATTTTGGTATGATTTGTCTCAGGGGCATGTGGATCCCTCATAGAGCTGCAAGCCAAAACCAGACTATGAAAGCAAGGTATCTGGAGACTGTGCCAGTTCTGGAGACCAAGACCAGTTCTGTCACTTAACTATGGCTGCACTGATGCCACTCCGTGTCTCTGAGCCTGGTATTCCTCACCTCTAAATTAAGCAAAATAACTTGGGTCTTATACAGCTGTTTCACAGATATGCCAGAGATTTGATGAACTAACATATACAAAAGCACTTTGTTGGGTGACAGTGTGCTTAGACTTATGTGGAGGACTGTCTGGGGCTCCTACTTGAAAGAGGAGCAGCTGTCTCCATTCGGGCTGAGCCTGACCCTATTTCCATGTACTGATACATGCAGAGCTGGCTAGGACTTTTTTCCTATCCTTTCAACTGGCTTCCAGCAATGCACGTAGGCCCAGCTGAGGTGCTGGTGGCAGTCTCTGAAGACCGCAGGTGTGTCTCCACAGAACCCTGCTCCCTAGCATGAGCTGGAACAAGGACAAATGAATAACCAATGCTCTACGCTATCAGCTGGGATCAAGATAGAGGCTATGACTGCCTGGGGCTTGAAAGAACACACATCAGAGCTAAAGCACCACCTCAGAACATTAGATACTATCTCAACTGTTATGCAAATTACCCTTTCTGCATATCCTCTCTGTATATTGCAGAGGTGAATGCAGGCCTCCTACCTAGCCCAGCTCATGACACTCACCTATTTCCTGCCATTCTCACAGTCATTCATCTTCCAGCCACACCTTTCTTCATGAATGAATAAAATGCAGCTTCAGCCCTGGGTTGAGTCCTTTGTTCCAGACAGCCATCATCATGGCTGGACTTAGCACCCTTTGGCTCCCCATAACTACAAATATGCCTTAGTGTCTTTATTCTCACCATGTATTGCACTGGGTGTGGTAGATTGGAATTAACTTGATGGGAATCCAACAATTTATCAATGGGATTACAAATATAAATTTCCCAGACCAAGACGAGGACCAGGAAGGGCTATGGACTTAGGTAACAGTGTCCTCCCTACAGGAATGTGCCTGGGACCCAGCCTTCTTAGACTTGGCTGGGTGGAGAGGTTCTCAGAGAACATCACAGGGTTGATAAATATGCCAGTGTCTCTCCTTTGCCCCTTTGAGAGCCCACCGCAGTGAGCCTCTAGAATCTGGCACCAGCAACTGATGAGCCTTAGTATGGGGGAGGAAGCTTTGCTGCCTTTCTTGATGAGCTGTTACCGTTTGGTAGACTGAGCACACTACAGTGATTTTTCTAATTTCCTTTTCTCGTGGCAGTGGTCCTTAGCCTCGATTTCCCGATTATTGGATGTCGTAATTACTTTCTTGTTGCTGAGACAAAATACCTGACACCCACTTGTTAAAGGAGAAGAGGTTTATTTTGGCTCACGGTTTGCAGAGGTTTTAGTGAATAGTTACCTGGCTCCCAGACAGGGAGGCATAGCAGAGGGGCATCGCAGTAGAAAAACAGTTCAGGGCAGGGCACACAGGAAGTAGCGCAACTTCCTTTTCTCTTATTATTACATGCAGGCTGCAAGGCTATTGGTTCCTGCTACCCACATTCAGAACTTTGGGCAGGTCTTCCTTCCTCAGTAAACTCATCTCCCACACCTAGAACTATACTAAACCAATCAACAGACTAATCCAGTATCACACGCCCATGGTCTAGTCATGCCCAGAAGCCCTACCTATGAGTGCATGAGGCTTTGGGGGCACATCTACATACAGGCCCTAACACTGGGATAGCATCTTATTTCCAAGAGCACTTTGAGATGACTTGAAAACTTAAACCTCATCTTAATTAGAGCAAACTCAGTTAAAGTAAAATGCAAATTTAAAGGACTAGATTTTAAAGATTTCAACTGGGAACTGAATTTAGTCCTGAGCTTTCTAGTAACCAATAACAAAGAGAAATAGTTTTGGATGCCTCTGTTGCCATCATTGGACCAAGGAAGGCTTTCATGTTTAAGAACTGAAAAAAATTCAAGTTATAGCTTGTTTTTTCCACCAGCGAGGGCCTGAACCAGGAGAGAAGCCCTGAACTCTTCCTAATAAGCCCTGCTCCCACCCTCTGTTGTTCCAACAGTATAACAGGGATCGCTTCTTGCTAAAAGATTGTCTTTATTTATTTATTTATTTTTTATTTATTACATTTATTTATTGTGTGTGTGTGTGTGGCCAGCTCAGCCCACCAGGGGGCGGGGCTGGCTGGCATGTGGTGCTGGAGGATTGAACCGCAGTCCTTGTGCTTTGCCAAGCTTGTTTCAAGTAGGTGCTTTAGACCACTGAGCCATCTCTCCAGCCCTAAAAGATTGTCTTTCAGAGGAATCGTCTGCACCTCCTCAGCCTTTCCGTGTGCCTTGGTCTGCCAACTCTCTTCTTTGTCTTTCTTGCTGAGGAGTCAGATAAGGAGTCATTAGGAAGCCACAACATAAAACTATCCCCAAGCACCCCCCGCTGCCACCTCTGACGCCCAGGTGTCCTTCCAGGTGGACAGGTTCCTATACCATATGCGGCTCTCAGATGAGACCCTTCTGGATATCACAGCACGGTTCCAGGCCGAGATGGAGAAGGGGCTGGGGAAGGACACCAACCCCACAGCCTCTGTGAAGATGCTGCCCACCTTCGTCAGGGCCATTCCGGATGGCTCAGGTGAGTGGGGCTGAGGATGCTGGGACCCACCGCCAGCTTCCCTGGGCTGGTGGGTGCCTGTGGTTGGCCCCTGTACCCAGCTTCTCCCTGCACACTCCCCTTCTGCTCTCCTGGCCATTTCCACTTCTAGTTCCAAAGGCTGAGACACCTTGCTTCCTCCCTGCCTATCTTGGCCTGTTTATTCTGTTTCCTTTGGCGGTAGCTTCCCATCACTTGACCCAGTGAGTATAGCCTTAGCTTTCTGAGCTCAGCCGGTCACTGACTGTGTCCCCCTGGAAAGCAGCCCTTAGCAGCTCAGGTGCTTCTCAGAGCCCTTGCCATCTCGGAGAGGTGAGTCTTCCCTGGACCAGCAGCCTCTGGAGGCCAGGTTCTTATTCACCACTTTTAGAGCACTCATTACACACCAGGCCCTGGAGCACATGTTGAACAGACAGCAAGTGGCATCCACTCCTGGGTGTCTAGACTCCAGGACAGAGGAGGTAAAGTAATGAAAGGAAGCAGGATGTTGTGGAAAATACAGAGTGAAAATTCAAGAACTCTGAGTTCCAGATCCCGATTCGTCCCTCCGTAGTGACCTCAAGCAAGGGCTTAGCTTTGGTTTCTCCATCTGCAAAGTGAGAGTGCTGGCCTATGGGCTTTTCTATTGCTATTTTTGTCCTTGGGGTGAGGCTGGGAACCCCAAAGTAGTCAGCTGGAACTGACTCATGGGCCTGGTACTAGATAGCTTGTTTCTAAAAAGTGGCTAGTCAACTAAACATGGATTCAGGGTTGCTTGTCTTGCCTTCTGGAGTTGGATTCCAGGTTTTCCTCACTTCAAAGAACAGAATGAAACAAGCAACAGGCAAGGGCAATGTTTATTCAAGAAAATAAAAGTGAAGAGTGGGAGAGAAGCTGACCCTGTAGAGTGAGCTGGGGCCAAGTAAAGAGCAATAGAGGGTAGAGAGCTGCCTCTGTGACGATCAGTGAGTGTGGCCATGGAACGTTAGGAGAACAGGATTCTTACAACGGACTTTATTTTATACCATTCAAGCCTTGAAACCTGAGAGAATTTCAGCATCAGGGTCCTGAGAGGGGGCGCTGGGATCCCACGCCTCAGGCTAACGCCAGGTGTAGGCCATCCTATTGAGAACCTGCTCCAAGTTCTCATGAGAAGTGTGCATGGATTTAGGACCTGTTCTGCACATGCATCTGGGATTAGTAGGTCAGACTGCTGTGGTGTTTGCTATACCTTAATCTTCTATCTCAGGCTCAGGCTCCACATCAGGACCAAGTTCCATATTTGCCTGTGCCTAAGATTCAGAATATCTCTTTCCTGGAGACTGCTAATACATTACCACAGTGTAGTGGACCAATGTGACATGGTATATTCTCTTACTGTGGTCAGAAATTTGAGTGGGTCTGACTGGGCTAAAGTCCAGGTGTCAGCAGGGCTGTCTTCCTTCTAGAGTTCTGGGGAAGACTTTCCTAGCTTTTTCTAGCTTCTCTGGGCAGCCCACATACTTTGACCCACTCTTCTGTGTCTCCCCCCTCCACATTAGGCCCGCTTCCTTCAAATCCAGATAATCTCTACCTCAGGGTCAGCTGATAAGAAATTTTGATTTTATTTGCAAGCTTCAACCTTAATCCCTTTGTCATGTGACTTAACATATTCCAGGATCCAAGGATTAGGATGTAGACATCTTGGGTGGCCGGAGACATTATTTGCATTGCAGCCCAAGTGCTGTAGAAGGAATCTGCATTTCTAGCTGATCCTCCATTCCTAGCCTCAGGAAAAAGCTATAAGAGAGAAGAATTGGCATTTACTGAGTCAGGCAATCTCGGGACCCTGTGTCACGTTCTACTGGGAGGTCACTGTGAGGTGGCTGTGACTGCCAGGTCAGATGGGCGCACCAAGCAGCAGAGGGCTCTCCCAGTTTCAGGGTCTGTATGCTCAGGGGTTGGAGCAAGGATTGAAGGACTGAAGCTGGGGGTGCTCTCAGGGTTCTCTGATTGGATTAGCCAGTTCTGGACAGCCCCTGGGTCAGAGCTCGGGTCCAGCAGCCTGGATCTGCTGGTTGCCAGGCCCTGGGGCCACAATGAGGGGAGAGGCTTTGCTTACTGGCTGGGGGGTGGGTGCTTGGGTGGGCAGGGCACCACCTGGAGGAGCATAAGGTTAAGAGAAAGACAGCGCTCCCTGCCTCTGACAATGTGGATGGAGTGCAAGGGCACTGCTGTCCTCCCTAGGCCATGCAAGGACACTTGGCACAAGCACCTGAGTCACGGGGTGTGTAGCAGGGGTGAGGAGTGCTGGGGCTAAGTCCTGGCAGCCTCCTCCAGCACTGACAGGGTGTGGCCGCAGAACGTGGTGGTGACCTTGTACAGTTCCGAGGCTTTGGGGCTGCTTCGGAGGGAAATGAGAGCGATCTCTAGAAACCCCCTTCCCTCTGGCTCGGAGACACATGCTTCCTTTTACAGACCTTCTCGCCAAACAGTCTGTGTCAGGGAAGCCCCCAGGACCAGAGTCCCTAAAGATCTCCCAGGTGCCCTTGGGAGATCCCAGGACCACTGTGCTCCTGTCCTCACTGGCAAATGAGCTGACCACCAATTTGTGGGGTGTTGATGGGGACCAAGAGAGCTTCTCCCCCTCTCTCTGAGGCTCCAGTCTTTAAATCTGTTTACCTAACTGGCAATGGACAGATCCACAGGAGAAAAAGCACACACGTATATTAACACGCAGGTGTGCACAGGAACCATACCCAGTATGAAACTCAAAGAGGGACAGGCTGGTTGACCTAAATGCCCTCCTCAGGGGCACAGGGAGGTGGAGGCAATTCCAGAACTGCCGGATATGAGGTTTAGGGCTGCTGTGCCGGGGCAAAGTTCCTCTGGGCTCTGGGTGTGGCCCTTGATTTGCAGTCCCCTGAGTTAATCTTCCTCTGATAGTGACATTTCAGGAAGGGGGTGAAAGCCTGTGTGCTCACTGTCATAGGGCTGGTGAAGGGTGGGAGAGGGGAGGTCAGGGGAAGCCCTCCTGGGTTTGCTTCTCCCATGGGCTCTCGGTTTCAGAAGTGGAGGATTTTTGAGTGTGGCTTTTTGACCCCCTTCTTTGGGATCTTATGGGGCAGCATGGAGTCCTTCAAAATCTCTCAGATGCTATCTGCCATCCTCTGTAGCTCCTGGGAGCTGATGGCATAGTTTCATGGCTGCTAACCAAACCAAGCAAACAAGCCTCTCCTAATCCCCACTGCTTCCATTTCAGAAGCAGAAGCCGTTTCCCATGAAATCCTCCTGGGTTTGCCAGCTCTCTGGCAGCTCCTCCTCTCACCCAAGCCTGCCTGGGGAAGGCTCTTGGTCAGGGAGCAGCTGAGGACCAAAAGCTGCACAGTGTTCTCTTGGTGTCTGTGTCCTTTCCTCTGGCAAGGCTGGTGAAGGTCATTTCGTATCTGTGGCCCAATTGCCACTGGCCCTCTTCTCGGCCTCTGCTGCAGGTCTCCTGGGCCTGCACGAAGGGAGGCCTGAGGTAGTCCTCCAGGGCCTGCTGACTGGCTCAGGGGTCTGCTAGGAGGCAGGCTTCAAGCTGGCCTGGGCACAGACTCGGAGTCAGCTGGAGCGATTCCTAGATGCACGAGTCTTAGGCCTCTTCCCCAGCTGACTCTAAACCTCTGGAAAACTGGTCCCACTGGCCTTTGCAAAAGCAGCCCCTGGGGAGGGGCACAGGTGTGGAGTGCCTAGGCGAAGGGACTCCAGTTCTGAGGGTCATAGCGGCAGATGTGTTGTCAGAAGAAATCTCCCCCTCCTGGGAGGCTGCTTTGCTTTGCTTTTCATTTTATTTATTGGGTACAAGGATCTCACTACATAGTTCACACTTGCAGTGTTCCTCCTGTCTCAGCCTCACTAGCGCTGGGATTACAGGCAGGCACCTCTACACCTGCTTTCACTGCTGGCACGGCATGCAGTACCAGAGATTGAACTCGAGTCCTAGTGCTTGCCAGGCAGGCTCTTAGACTGCAGAAATCTCCCCAGCCCCTCTTTTTCTAATAGTCACAAGTAAAGACCCTGAGGGTGCCACCACCCTCGCCTGGACCTGGGTCTGGTCAGGCCTCCCTCCCCTAGGGGGCAGCAGTTACTGCTGCTGGGGTCAGAGCCACCTCACAGAAGGGGTCTCTGGTGTACCTTCCATGACATGGCATCTCGAGTCCCCTGTGGTGACACTGTGGAGCAGGGTGTTTGAGCAGTGATTAGGGCACAGCGTGGGGACAGAGGGAGGACGTGCCCTGCCGCGGGCAGGTGTTGAACCCTCTGTCTCCCCGGGGCTGGTGTGGCAGGCCCTCTTTCCAAAGCCGCAGTCAGCTGTGGCTCTCCCTTGCTTTGTATCTGTCTGTGGCTCTGTCTTGCCTTCCAGATAAAGGCCAACTCCTGGGCGCAGGATGGGTCTTCCCAAATCCCCCCGCATTTACCCAGAACTGCCTTGCACCCCGATTTCTGCTACAGACCCACAGCCTCTCTCTGTCCTACGCTCATGGTCTCATCTGCCCCGGGTTTGTTCTCCGCTGCGGGGCAGCCTCCCCCTACTTGTTCCAACCATCACAGCCCCTGCCCTACTTAATTGAAGCCACTTCTTTCCACCCTGTCTTCCGCTGCGCTTACCAGCGCTCCCACGGCCTTTTTTCTCGGCATGCCTAGCTCCTGGCATGTGACTGGGTACTGAGCAGGTGCTCGGGGACACCTGTGCAGGGATCGTGTGGTCTGCTGATGTCCCCGCCAAGACAGCATCCTTGAGAACATCGCTCTCTGGGTAACAATGGGATTGGTTTCTTAAATTCTTTGCCCCAAAAAATGAAGGGCTCCACCAGGCTCATTTTAGGACTGACCTGGGGGAGAGAAGAGCTCCAAATAATCCCACAAATTCCAGAGGTCTCCACAGACACCACAGATGGAGCCGGATGAGTCTATAAATGAGATTTGATTTATAAGTGTAGGGGATTTGACTGACCTTGTTAAATACAAAAGTTACATTTTTAGTCATATAGATCTTGCTTTAACTTGGTCTTAACCATCCAGCAGAAAAGTATAACCACAAGGTACAAAAAGTACAGCCATGTTAATATTCTGAGCTGTAAAAGGCTCAAGTCAGCAACTTCTGACAATTGCTAGTTCTGCCGATAACCCACTACTATTTGGACTACTAGACTATATTGGGTTATTTTGCTGAATTCAAGTACCTACAATCTCTAGATTGGTTTCGAGTAAGAAAAGGTCCTTTAAAGACTTCTCCAAATACAGCTTCTCTAACTGCAATGGAACACCCATCTCTGAAAAATCAAAATGAAAAAGGGGGATATGCTGGGAGCCACGAAGCTAGGAAATCGATCAGATATATGTAGGTGAGACTTGACCCAGCGCCTAAAGCAAACAAGCTACCTCATTCCTGAGATGAACATCCTGTCTGGTTAAGGTTTGCTGTCAGTTGCTAAGCAACCTAGTGTCATGCGTTACTAACTTCACAAAAGTGTAAATAAAGTACAGTTTTGTTGTGGAAAAAGAAAGGGGGGAGGAAGAAGAAAAAAATATAGATGTATACATGAGAGTTAGGATAGATATACAGCTACTTTCTCTTAGTTCACTGAGAATAAAAGTTTGTACTAATATTGTTTAGACAAGATATCATGTCTACATCTTGTCCTCTGAATACTACGAAGACAACAATATGCGATGTATTAATTATTGTAAATGTCCTACTAACCTGTTTTGAAACTGTTTCATTGCTATTTTGTCTCTTTTCTCATTAAAATGAATAAAAATTATATTTAACACAGTGTAGATGTTGGCTACCCGGGGTCTTATCTAGAAATCCAGGATCTCAGGTCTTCCACCACTGAACCCAATGTGAGGGCGAGGTTTACAGTGGTGTGCTTGCCTGTGAAAGCTTGAACCGTGCGCTCTGGGCCTTCCGAGGGTTTGCCTCTAGCTCTTTGCTGGGAAGAGAAAAACCATCTAGTGCCCAACTAAGGAAAGGTTTGCTGTGGAAGGATGCAAGGACCAAGGGGACGTGTGGGGTCTCGTGGGGTCTCGTGGGAACCTGAGGGCAGGAGCCACAGTGGATTTAGCTTTCAGTGGACCTGGGCCTGTGAGGTTTTCTGTGTCCGGTTTCAGCACCTCTGTCCTCTGGGTTGGGGATGCTGACAATTTAATGTCTAACATCTACTAGCAAAGTTCTTCTGTATTGGATTTCATGGCTTACAAAGAGTAACTTTGGTTGGCCAAAAGACCCAATGGGAAAAAAATGGAAAAAAAATAAATAAATAAAAGACCCAATGGATTCAGGCAGCTGTGGCTGGTGTCACATGGAACAAAACTAAGCCACTTGGGTCCAGGTTTGTGGGCATGGAGTTTCACTATGTGTGCCGTGGGCATGAGTCATGAAGCATGCCTGGCACCGGCAGCCACTCTATAGGCGCAGATGAGTCTGTGCAAAGGCTCGCTGCTTTTTTTGCACTGACTGGCAAGGGTTCTGGGTGGACATTGTGGAGTGAGCTGCCTCCTGCGACACCCGCCTCATTTCCTTATTTCTATTAATAGCATTTCTCTTGGGCGAGGCTGGTTCAGGTTTTTTTTTTTTTTCCCGGAACTGGGGATTGAACTCAGACCCTTGTGCTTGTCAGGCAAGCACTTATTCTACTGAGCCATCTCCCCAGCCCCAGGTTCAGGTTCTATTTCCTTTTCTTCTTCCTTTCTTTTTGCAATTTAGCACAGGGTCTACAGGGTCTTACTACACCAATCGGACTAGCAGTGTTTCTCCTATTTTCAGCTTCCTAAGTGCTGAGATTATAGGTGCGCCACCACACCCAGTCTCAACTGCTGTCTCAGTGCACCCCCGGGGGCAGGACTGGCATGGCAGGCCGGGGATTGAACCTCCGACCCCTGTGTCTGCCTAAGCAGGCACTTTAATCCTCTGAACTATCTGGCCTGCCTGCCTTTTCTTTTGCACTGGTTCTGGCTCAAACATCTTTGCCACTTTAAGGACCAGGACTTGGTCCCTGTCACCCGTCTCTCTCTTGGAGTATTTTTTCTTTGCTGGGCAAACTGGGGCTTGTATGGGACTGGATTCTCTTTGCCATACACTGCCTTCTTTGTTTCATGCCTTTTTCTGAGGTTCCCCCTGTTAGGCATGTCAGCACTCTCTCCACAGTTCCAGCATGCTAGGATAGGCCTCACTTCAGGCCCATTTCTTAGTCCACCTCCACCAAGCGGGTTCTCAGGCGCCTTCTCCAGTTGCATGTTTGTTCCCTGTAGCAGGGCCCAGGGGGCTGGGCTTGGGCTGTGGAGTCCAACAGACCTGGTCAGACCCAGCTGAGTCCCCTACTGCACTGTCTCAGACAGGTAGATACCATGAGATCAGGCCTCAGAACAGGCATGAGATTTGATGGCTTTTATTATACATCCAACTTTTAATGCAGGGCTTGCTGTGGAGCAGGCCCTTATTGGCTGGTGACCATTTTATTTCTTCATAGAAAATGGGGAGTTCCTTTCTCTGGATCTTGGAGGGTCCAAGTTTCGGGTCTTGAAGGTGCAAGTCTCTGAAGAGGGGAAGCGACACGTCCAGATGGAGAGTCAGTTCTACCCCACGCCCAATGAAATCATCCGGGGAAACGGCACGGAGGTACCAAGCAGGCAGGGGAGGCTCGGCGCAAGGATGAGAAACTATGCTCCAGCCCTGTGTCCTGTGCTTTCTCTCTCCACAGCTGTTTGAATATGTAGCTGACTGCCTGGCCGATTTCATGAAGACCAAAGGGCTGCAGCAGAAGAAATTACCCCTTGGCTTTACCTTTTCTTTTCCCTGCAGACAGACCAAGTTGGAGGAGGTAAGTCCAGGGGTGTAGACAGTGTGGGTCTGGGCAGGGGCCTGTGAATTAAACCCAGGGCCTCTCACATGCTAAGCACACAGTGGCCCCTGAGCCACATCCCAGGTCTTGACTTTTTTAGTACAGGGACAGAAAGGTCTTAGCCAAAGAGATGCAAGTGTGTTCTGATGATAAATTAGTAATACTTTTGTGAAAGTTACTTTTTTTGTGTGTGTGTGGAACGGGGGATTGAACTCAGGCCCTTATGCTTGCCAGGGAAGCACTTATTCCACTGAGCCATCTCCCCGGCCCATTACATTTTTTTTTTTTTTTAAAAGAAGAAAATAGAAATCACATCTAATGCCCACAGGCAGAGATATCCGCTGTTAGGATGGCAAAGTTTTTCTTCTAGTCACAGCTCTGTTAAGTATCAGGCACAGAGGGGCTGGTGAGATGGCTCAGTGGTCTAAAGCACCTACTTGGAACAAGCTAAGCAAAGCACAGGGACCGCAGTTCAATCCCCCAGCACCACATGCCAGCCAGCCCCGCCCCCTGGTGGGCTGAGCTGGCCACACACACACATAAATAAATAAAAAATTAAAAAAAAAAAAAGTATCAGGCACGGAGTCTGTCTCAAAAATGTGTAGACGCTCCAGGAAAAGACAGCAGTATAAATATTTTAATACTAAATTTAATGAGACATCACGAAACCCGCCTAATACAAGTTACCTCTGGCCTGCACAACTATGAGCGATGCTCACAGCAGTGGCCCTTATTGTCTAGATATTTATGAGTTTGCTCACCGCTGCGTTGTAACCTTAGTCTCTGAGATTGCTGTACACGAATTTTCAGTTTCGTCTCTAAGGGCCGGCAGTGTAGTGGGTTTTCTGTGATATATGACATCCTCTAGGGTCCCCCACACAAGGGTAACTCTGTCTGTTGAAAAAAAAAAAATCAGCGTGCCGTGTGGGCCCCGCTCCTGGGATGCGCTGAGACGGCGATTGAGCCTGGGCGTGGTGGTGTGCGCCTGTAATCCCAGCGCTTGGGAGGCTGCACACAGGCAGATCACTACGAGGCCGATCTAGGTAGAGACACTGAGTACCCTGCAGACCCTTATTTAAAAAAATACAACAACAAAATCATACTTTTTTCTTTTCTGAACTGTGTATGCATTTTTGGAGGACTCTGTACATATATTTATTGTTTGTCCCCCCGTACAGTAGCATCACTGTACAAGTTTCACTCTCCCAGGTGGGTCCCACACTGTCCCCAGCAGCTTTAAGGAGGGAAGCTGCCCTACATCTGTCTCTGACCGAGCGGGGCTCGGACTGTAACCTAAGAAGGCAGATGTTAGAGAGAGCTGCCACAGGGAGGCGCTGCGGAGCAGGACGGAAACCAGCCTTGATTTGGGTTCAGACCTGCGGTCTAATTGGCTTTGGTCCTTTATTCTTTGTGAGGCCAGCAGGAGTTTCCTTGACGCTAAATCTTGGTTTCTTTATCCACAAACTGAGAGCACTGGAAGAGGTGTGGCTGGAGAAGCTGCGTGCTGGGCTTAACCTCCAAGTTTTCTCTTGGTCTGAAAAATCCTATGATTATTTGTGATTTCAGACATGGAATTCTTTTTCTTTCTTTCTTCTTCCCTTTTTTTTTAATGTGGCTAGCTCAGCCCGCTCTGGGGGCAGCGCTGGCGGGGCACGCAGCGCCCGCAATCAAAGCTTCCCAGACATGGAGTTCTTGCAAAACACTATCTGTAAGGAAATAATTGATTAATGCAGCTTGGGCAATTTACATTTTTCTAAGTTAAAATTACATTCTTGAGGGAATTCTTTAAGAGACCACCGTGTTAGTTCTCTTTCGGGGCCCTATGAGCTGTACACTGTGCGCATACAGCCTGTAGTTACTATACTCCATATGTCATGGTTAGCACGTGCCTGCAGGAGATGCGCTGTTTCCGCACTTCCTCCCTGTCGGGGGAAGGATATTTCCATTATACAAATAAGTACTCTGAGGCTCCGGTGTCTTACAAATCCATATTCTGGCTCTTTGGAAATTGCTTTCTGACACTCCAATCTTCTCAAATAAAAGTGTATATAGGTTTTATTTATTTATTTATTTTATGTACTTGGTTGTTACAGGATCTCACTACGCAGTTCAGACTTGTAGTGATCCTCCTGTTTTCAGCCTCCCCAGTGCTGGGATTACAGGCAGGTGCCACTATGTCTGGACTCTGTGGCCAGCTCAGCCCGCCCTGGAGGTGGAGCTGGCACAACAGGTAGGCCAGGCGGAACCACAGTCCCTGAGCTTGCCTAAGCTTGCCTAAGCAGGCACTTTAATCCGCTGAGCTATCTTGCTGGCACTATGTGGGTTTTAAATGACCAGAAAAGACCTCCAAAACAACATTAAACAATATTCTACTCACCACAGCCAGATACAAATATTCTGCATCTGCCAATATGCAAGTGTGGTACCAACACATAATGAATACTATTCAGCTGTAAAAGTCACGAGATCCTGTCATTTGTGGCAGCAGAACACTATAAAGCCATAAAAAAGTTATGGTCCTGTCATTTTTGGAACACGTATAAGCCTGGAGGACATTATTGGAAGTGAAATAAGCCAGGCACAGAGAGATAAATACAGCGTGACCTTGCTCAATGAAATCTAGGAGAGCTGGTCCTGTGAAGCTTACAAGAGGCTGGGGAGGGTTCAAGGCAGGGAAGGATGGCAGGAGAAATACAGCCGGGTGACAGAAACAGTGCCGGTGTCCTCTTGCACAGTAGGCTGGCTGTCGTTGAGGAAATTATATTGTGTGCGTACTTGCAAATAAGTAAAAGACAGGACTCTGAATACTCTCATCACGAAGAAATGACAAATGTTTGGGGTGGTGGATATGCTAATTACCTCATCCAGTCATTACATATTGTACACGTGCATGGAGGCCGCAAGCTGTGCGCCTTAAATATATACAATTAGTACGTGTCTATCTAAGACAACATAAGGAGAAAAAAAAAAAAGAATGGGTGATTCAACTTTGAGAAGGAGCCTGGGGGGCTGCAGTGACCTGACATTCCTGCAGTTCAGGGGGGCGCAGCGCACCTCCTGGGCCGTGGGGGCTGAGTCTCCAGTCTTCCCACAGGGCGTCCTGCTGTCATGGACCAAGAAATTCAAGGCACGGGGAGTTCAGGACACAGACGTCGTGTGCCGTCTGACCAAAGCCATGAGAAAACACAAGGTGAGCAGCTCCTGGGGGCAGGGATCCTGGCCTGTGCCTTCCTGGAGGCAGAATGGGGTAGGAAGTGCAGAGGTAGCCAAGTCGGTGAGCCCGCAGGCCGCTGAGCTGCCTGCAAGGGATGGTGACCCGTCCTGAGGAGGGACCTGTCACCCCAAAGGTAGCCCAGGGCCTGCTGAGGCCTCCAGATGCCACGGCCTCAGGGGCATGCCTAGTCCTGAGCTGTGTGCAAGCCCCGTCTTCTCTGAGACTGCAAAGCTCGCTTCGTCTGGCTACCTACTCTGCACTTCACACCGTTAGGTCCGGCTTGCTCGTTAGCCTGATGACAAGACACATGCACGGTGCGGGGGTGGGAGCCAGGCAGGCACTACATGCGCTGGCGCCCCACACCAGAATGTTTGGGTGTGTATTGGGTTAATAGTATTCCTAGTTATTGCAGACTGACCAGCCCTCAATCTCCCAAACAAGTGGATGGCAGATGGCAAAGGCTTAAATAAAAGAGACAAATGGAAGGATTTCAGGGCTCCAGGAGAATCAAAAGCCCTCTCACAGAATTTGAGATTTTTGGGCTTAAGACAAAGAACTTCTCTAGGCAACCTGTATTTATTACATCATAAAATAAAAGAGGGAATACTAAAAAAGTGCAGGAATCTGGGTAGGAAGTGGGAACTTAAGGGCTTCTAATACATTATGTTAATGTAGGAGAACTTTGTCATCTCCAGGAAGGCCTTCACCACAGGAGTGAGATGCCTGCAGCTCAGTCTTTATCTAGCTAACTGAGGCTGGAGTCAGGCGTCCTTAGCTGTGACCTTGTCTTGTCCTTTGAGACGCCCAGGCTTCCCCTGGCAGCTCCAGGCAAGGGGCCCAGGCCTTGGCAAGCGTACAAGTATCTGCACCTTGTGTTCAACAGGACCTGGATGTGGATGTTCTGGCCTTGGTCAATGATACCGTGGGGACCATGATGACATGTGCCTATGACGATCCGTACTGTGAAGTTGGCGTTATCATTGGTAACTCCACTGGAATTGTTTCCTGGGGTGGGGGAGCGGCTGGCTTAGAGCTTAGTTTTTGCAAAGCTGAGTGAGTGGGAAGAGCGCTAATGGTACAGGAGGGGCACTGTAGGAGGAGGAATGAGCTCGTGGATTTGGTCTTTCGACCAGTGTTTCCTGGCCCTAAGGGTCCTGTGCTTGCTCCTGGTTCCCATGGGGGGACCTGTGCTCTTTTGTGGATTTCAGTGAGGACCTGGGGAGGCCATAGTAGCCCAGGATAGTAAGGTCATTTCTAGTGGTCAAAGCATGGTAATGTGATGGAGTGAGGGGTGTGGACGAGGACAAGGAGGCCTGTGTGGGGGACAGTGCGCATGCTCCCCAGCAGTGATGATGAGACAGAATGATGCAGCTGGGGGAAGAGACTGGGGGGGGATGATGAATCTGGGGTGCTTGAGGAGCCCCAAAAGGCTGAAGATGGCTGCATTGGGTGAGCAAAGGCTGAGGGTGTTGGGTGATTCAGAGCCGAGAGAGCAGATGAGGGAGAAGATGAGGGAGCACAAGGATAGATGGATAGCCACTGAAAGGCTATGGGCTTTGACCTAAGGACACAGGAAGGCCCTGGATGACTCAGGGTGGAGGCTCAGTGGGTGCACTTTTTTAAAACACTTGTGTGGACTGTGATGTGGAGAATTGATTCCTGGGTACAAGAGTGGCAGCAGAGCGACCAGTTAAGAAGCCACTGTGCGATCAGGTGAGATACAGAGAGGACTGGACCAAGGAGGGTGGGACCATGGAGACAAGTAGAGGGTGGGAGGGGTCCCTTCGAAGGTTGGGGTGCCATGATGCCAGATTATCTGATTTACATTTTCCTCTTTTTTGGTGCTGCTGAGGATCAAACCCACAAGCTCTACCACTGAGCTATATCCTCAGCTCTTTTTATTTATTTTGAGAACAAGGTCTTGCTAGGCTCCCTGGGCTGGGCTGGAATGTGCAATCCCCCGGCCTCAGCCTCCCAAGGACCTGGTTACAGGTGTGCATGCTCCACTGCTCATGACTCGTATGCTCTCCTTAATATTCACTTGCCCTCTTCCTAGTCCTCTATCAAGGCTGGGAAAGTAGTCTTGATTTCCAGAAGCACTTCCTTCATGTGACTTTCCTAAAGTGCCGAGTCCCTAGGCCTGAGCATCCCCGTGCAGCTCCTGTTTCTGAAGGCCCAGTCCCTCAGAAGAGGAACAGTGCTTGCCAGCTGCTGCCCCCTCCTCCTCTCAGTGGCTGTGTCTGGTGATCCATAGGTCGGGTGCTACCCCTGAAGTGGCCACGCTTCCCTGAACCACTTGCCTGAGCAACGCTTTTTCCAAACAGTACTTTACATTTGGCTTTGTACAGTTCTTAGTTTCATGTTGGCGTTTAAAATACTCAGGGAGGGCTGGGGCTGGGGAGATGGCTCGGTAGGATAAGCGCTTGACTGGCAAATGGAAGGATCTGAGTTCAATCCCCAGTTCCGCCAAAAAAAAAATACTCAGGAAATTGACCCAGCAAAGACAGCAGGAAGTTCCTTTCCAACGAGTTTTATTGATGCATGAAAATTCTCTTGTTTTCAATCTACAACTCAATGATTTTTAAGGTAAATTTATAGGTATTTGTACCCATATGTTCTTTTTTTATTAGTGCATATCTGCAATAATTTTATTAGTGCATATCTGCAATAATTTGTCACAGGGAGTAGGTACATGTACCTAACCCATCTTAACACTTTTTATTCCTCTTCCCCTCTTTTCCCTCCCACTTCCCTCCTTCTGTCTCAAGAGCCTGTTTATGTTTGTACCAAAGGTCTTTCTCCTTGTTACCTATTTCCTATGTTTTCTCTTGCTCTTTAAATTGTTTATACTTTGGGTTTTTCACGTAAGAAAAACCACAAAATATTTAAGCTCATGTGTCTGTTTTATTCCGCTTAACATCATGGTCTCAAGGTGCATCTGTTTTCTTTCTTTCTTTTTTTTGCAGAACCGGGGATTGAACTCAGGCTCTTGCGCTTGCCAGGGAAGCGCTTATTCCACTGAGCCATCTCCCCAGCTCCATATCTGTTTTCCTATAGACAACTCACATTTATCCTCCTTTATTGCAGAGTAATATTCCATTGTATATAAATACCACCTTTTCCTTATCCATTCATCTGTCGTGTTGATGGACCTGAGACTACTGCCAAAACTTAGCTCCTATGAATCGTCCTGCTGTGAACATGGTCATACCTGTATCACTGTCATATGACATCTTTAACTCTTTCTGGAGATAGCTAAAAGGGCAGAGCTGGGTTGAATGGAATTTCTAGTTGGGGCTTTTTGAGGAATCTCCGTGCTGATTTCCGTGATGGTTGTACTAGTTTACACTCTCACCAGCAATGGAAAAGGGTGCTCTTTTCTGCACAGCCTGCTGGCATTTGTTATTGTTTAATTTCTTGATGTGTAACCGCCCACTCTAATTTTATATCAGCTCCCCTCCCCAAAGCCCAGGCATGTTGTGCCCGTGTGCAGCTTTCCTTGGCACTTGGGTGCTTGGGGCCTTTCCTGGGGTGATTTTGCAGCTGAGTGATATCGTTGCTCTCTTAGGGACTCACTAATCGCCATCAAAAATAAGATGCAGCTTATACTAGGAACAATTTTTAGCAGATCACAGGGAAAGAATATTTTTAGTAGCAAATAGAGAGGAATATAAGTAGCTCAGGGAAAAGATTAAAAAAAATTGCTCTGCCTTGGGGAGGGGTGAGATTTTTTATTAAACATTGACAAGATTAGCTGAACTAATCTTGAGCCCCCTTGTCAGTGTGTTCTGTCGGCTTCCAAGCATGTTTGTTAGGCACTCAGCACAACAGACTCCATTGTTAGCAGGAGACCATTGACGCGAGAAGTACGGACTCCGCGCTTCAGCCTTGCTGCTCGCGGGCACGGGGCTTGCCAACACTGCTTCCCTCAGCCAGCGCCGGCCGGCGCTCTGCGCGCAGCTGGTGCTCTCTGTGCCGCCACCAGGAGCCCTTGCTCCTTCACGTTCTGTTTGGTCCCCTTTCAGGAACGGGCACCAACGCTTGCTACATGGAGGACATGAGCAACATTGACCTCGTGGAAGGCGACGAGGGGAGGATGTGCATCAACACGGAGTGGGGGGCCTTCGGGGACGACGGGGCCTTGGAGGACATCCGCACAGAGTTTGACAGGGAGCTGGACCTCGGCTCGCTCAACCCGGGGAAGCAGCTGTGAGTGCGCTCTCCCTCCGGCCTGCGGGACCCTCAGGCACCTCCGAGCCTGTGAGGCTCTCTGGTTGGGAGCAGTCAGCCACCGTGACACCATGCCCAGGCCAGGCTTGGACTGTAAGCTCATGGACAGGGGAGCAAAGTGAAACCAAGGAAGTAGGGTGACGTGACCTAGGTCCCAGCCCTAGGGACCTGGGGATCAGGCTGAGTGCTGTGTGACCGAAGGCCTGCCCTCTTGGAGCACGTGGGTCACAGAATAACCCATGGGTAACGGGGAATCCAGACTCACCTCGTGTCACACCCACACAGAGCCAGGTGGTCGCGCCAGGACCTTCCCTCGTGTCTGCTCCCCACTTCCTTGCCACCCGCACCTCATATTTGCCCACAAAGTAAGTGGGGCCTTGGTTCACAGACACTTTTGTCTGCACAGTTTTGTTCCCTAACAGAGGGTTTGTCACAGTTTTGTTTTTGTTTGCAAACTCTGCATCAGGTGTGGAGCAGGACTGAAGCCATCCTTTTTGAACAAACACAAACGTGGTCATCTTTTCCAGAAGAAGGGAACAAATAAGGTTCATGAACTGAGGCACCACTGTTTAGGTGTCTGCCTCCCTCTTTCTCTACATACTGAGTTGGCTGGAGGCAAGAGACACAGCTGGTTTTTCTTTTCCTTCTATAAACAATATCTTTTTTTTTTTTTTTTTTTTTTTTTTTTTTTTTTTGGTCTTTTATTTATTTGGTGCAGGGTCTTGTTACGCAGCTCAAACTCCTAGTGACCTTGCTGTCTTAGCCTCCCCATTGCTGGTATTGCAGGCATTCACTGCTATGCCTGATTTTGGTGGCCAGCATGGCCCACCCAGGGTTCTGGGGCTGGCCTGGCATACAGTGCTGGGGATTGAACCTGGGTCCTTGCACTTGCTAGGCAGGCACTTAGAGTGCCAAGCTATCTCCCCAGTGCCCACAGTATCTTATATATTACCGCAGCTCATTGTTCAACAAAAGGTGTTTTTAAAAAATTAAAAATTTAATGTTAGATTCATAGAAAATTTGTGAAAATAGTATACCCTTTTCACTCAGATTCTCTAAATAAGAACATTCTGTCCATGTGTATATCTGTGTATCTGTGCAAGCACATAAAATACACTTACACGTGCCTGTATAAAATCATTCTTTCCCGAGTCCCTTAAGACTAACTTGAAGACATAATATTCCTCTTCCTCAATACTTTAAGGCATGTTATCTGAATACAAATATGTTCTCATACATAATCACACCACCATAATCAAAATTAGGAAATTAACACTTAATCGGCTCTAAGCTATAATTTACAGATTTTACTCAAAATTCACCAGCTGCTCCACCAATGTCTAGACAAAGAAAGAAGCATGGTACTCTGGGCACGAGGGCAGGGGACACGTTATACTTGCAGCCCTGTCTCTTCAGCCTCCTTTGACTCGTAGCCATTTAGTGTCTCTTTATTCACTGTGGCTTTGAAGCCGACAAGCTATCAATGTACAGAGTCCCTCTGTTTGGCCCTGCTGTCTCCCCAAGCTCAGAGAGGACAGTCCTGCCCTCCCAAGGTGCACCGTCCTTGGCTGGCGGGCAGGGCCTCCTGATCTGCTGAGCTCCTGCCCTTAGTCTGCAGCTCCTGGGTTTGGGGAAGTGATGCTGCATATCCAAAGGCCTTGCTACCACTGAGGACTTCACCAAACTGTAGGTTCGAGAAGATGATCAGCGGCCTGTACCTGGGGGAGCTCGTTAGGCTTATCTTGCTGAAGATGGCCAAGGCTGGCCTCCTGTTTGGTGGTGCGAAATCCTCTGCTCTCCTCACAAAGGGCAAGATTGAAACGCAACATGTGGCCGCCATGGAGAAGTAAGTCCCTGCTGCGTCCCTCTCACCCCCGCCCTGTACAGTGGGATACATGACCAAGTGCAGTGTGCTCAGGCAGTGGAACAGCGGTAGGGGCCAGGTCCCCCTCTTCACCAGGGGCATCAGGTCTGGGCTCAGCTCCAGACAGATTAGCAACTCTGCCAAGATTCAGATGCCACATTCTTGTTGGGCTCATCACCCAGGGGTGCTACTCTCAGAGGGCCACCTGCTCCCTGGGTCCTGCTTACTGCCTTTTCCTCTCTGGAGTGGTGACTTGCTAATTCTTTTAGGGCCTCATATCCTTTTGAAAATACGATGTAAGTTCTGGATGCTCTATTTCAAAAATGCACATTCGTGCACAATTTTGCTTACAGTATCTGGCTAGAGCAAGAACCTTCTCCGCCAGCTCCCAGCCCAGTTAGACCTGGATTTGGGGATTTGAGGCCTTTTCCTTGAAGACCTGGAGTGGGGAATACTGGGGAAGGGTCCTGCTCCTTGGGCTTAGAGTCCCAGGTGTTGTCTTGAGCTCTGTGATCAGTCTAGGTCCTGAGCTCAGCAGAGTGGCAGTAGGTTTAGAGTCTGTGTCTATGCAGAGGTTGGCATGACAGTTCTGTGAATGGTGAGAGGGCAGAGTTAAAATGTGGACTCCATTCAGTTGTGGCCACCACATGCCACACGGCCCCGCCCCCGGGCGCACTGAGCCCATGACCCGGTCTGGGCATGGTGGCGTGCGCCTGTAATTCCAGCTCTGGGGAGGCTGAAAACTGGAGGATCACTATGAGTTTGAGCTGCATAGTGAGACCCTGCACACACACACACACACACACACACACACACACACAAAAAAAAAAAAAAAAAAAAAAAAAACCTAAAAATATGTGGACTCCTTGGGCTCCCTGAGTTCAAACCTTGGCGTTAGCACTTATTAGCTGTGTGACCAGAGAGGTTATTTTCTCTCGGTGTGCCTCACATTTCTCATCTGTATAATTTAGTAACAATAGTTCTCCTCTGGGGTTGTGGAAATTAGATGGGTTCTATGTAAAATCTTTTTTTAAAAAAAATTATTTTGTGTGTGTGTGTGTGTGTGTGGCCAGCTCAGCCCACCAGGGGGCAGGGCTGGCTGGCATGTGGTGCTGGGGAATCGAACCGCGGTCCCTGTGCTTTGCCAAGCTTGTTCCAAGTAGGTGCTTTAGACCACTGAGCCATCTCTCCAGCCCCATATGTAAAATATTTTGACAAGGACCTGGCACATAGAAAATGTTCAGTAAATAGTGACTTCTATTATCAATGTTGACCTTGTTCATACTATATTACTACGAGCCAGCCTATTAATTTTCACAACCTCAAGAGGTGGGAGAGCTGTATCCCCCTGGATGATGCCCACAGCATGGAAGCCTGTGTTCCTCTCATCTCTGTCTCCTGGGTAGGTATAAAGAGGGCCTTGCCAACACGAGAGAGATCCTGGTGGACCTGGGCCTGGAGCCATCTGAGGCTGACTGCATTGCTGTCCAGCATGTCTGCACCATTGTCTCCTTCCGTTCGGCCAATCTCTGTGCAGCAGCCCTGGCGGCCATCCTGACACGCCTCCGAGAGAACAAGAAGCTGGCTCGGCTCCGGACCACAGTGGGCATGGACGGCACACTCTACAAGATCCACCCTCAGTGAGTGCCACCTGCCATCCCACAACCCTGCAAATAAGTTTTCCCAGGGCTGAGTCCTAATGTTCTCTCTGGGCAATGCTGCCTACGTAGACAGGTGGAGCCAGCCACCTCTTAATAGTTCTAGAATGGGCAAATCCAGAGCCTGCTTTCAGCTAGCTATCTAGGCTCTAGTTTGGAAGGACTCTTAAAAGAAGTAGTATGCTGAAGTCAGTTACCTAATTAGAGTGGCCATCCATCCATCCATATGCCCATCTATCCACATGCCCATGCATGCATCTATCTATCTGTCCTTTACCATATGTGTCATCCATCCATCTATCCATCCATCCATCTAATATCTGTCCATCTCTACATGCATACAGACATGTGTCATCCATCCAGCTACCTGATGTTTATTTATTCATGCATACATTCATACATCCATTCATTTGCCAATCTCTCTCCATCCCTGATGGTAGAAAGTGGATTGGCCCCTGTCCCTACATTTATCTGTCCACCCATCCACCCATCCACCCACCCATCCATCCATCCATCCATCCATCCATTCATCCATCCATCCATCCATCCATCCATCCATTCACCCATCCATCCATCCATCCATCCATCCATTCACCCATCCATCCATCCATCCATCCATCCATCCACCCATCCACCCATCCATCCACCCACCCATGTGCACATCTACCCATCCAACCATCCATTCTTTATCTTAATGTCTGTAAGACTAGAAAGTAAGATATATGTAGTTATAAATGGGGAAAAGAGGGATGGCAGAGGAGGCTGAGTTCAGATGAAGGACTTTGCAAGAAGTCACATGGAAATGAGAAGTTACCATCAAAAGGTAGTCAGAGCCCCAATGGCTAACAGTGATGATACTAGAAATCAACTAGGTAACTTGAGAAAGACCTGAGAAAGAAAATCCTTTTGAAAAGAGCTGGTGTCCAGATGACATATTACACATAGAGAACTTAGACACTATTGTCCTAGTCACCATCATGGCCTGCCTGGCCAACATAAAGGGGTCAGTCCTGGCCTGGCTGGATCCTCCAGTCTAGTTCCCCACTACTATTGTGTCTGTTCCTATTGGCCAGATCTAGCCTTTTTATTTTTTAAAGACAGTACAAATTAGAATTAAAACAAAAAATTTACAAGTGATATAGAGTTTCACTTAACAAATATGAATTTCACAGTATTTGTTGTAATACATAATGTTGCCTTCCAACCAGTTATTCATATTACCAGATATATGCATGTAAACTTGGAAGAAAGAAGAAAACAAATGTATAAGAAATTAAAAGATTTAGCCTTTATGATTGCTAAATATGTTGCCTTCACCCCTGCCTTCAGGTACCCCAAACGCCTCCACAAGGTAGTGAGGAAACTGGTCCCAAACTGTGACGTCCGCTTTCTACTATCAGAGAGTGGTAGCACCAAGGGAGCCGCCATGGTGACCGCAGTGGCCTCCCGCGTGCAGGCCCAGCGGAAGCAGATTGATGAGGTGTTGGCTTTCTTTCGACTGACCCGAGAGCAGCTGGTGGGGGTGCAGGACAAGATGAGTGCTGAGCTCGAGTATGGGCTGAAGAGGACGACCCATGCGCTGGCTACAGTCAAGATGCTGCCCACCTATGTCTGTGGCATGCCGGATGGCACAGGTGGGTCAGCACAGCCTGGTTCTGAAGGGCCACGCTGAGCCCATTGTCGAAAGTCCTAATCCAGGGAAGTTCTCAGATCCTTAGATTCCCATCTATAAGGAAGACAGGGGAGAAGGGGAGGTTGGTCCTTCTGAGACCGAGTCCTGTGTGTGTGTGAGTGTGTGTGTGTGTGTGTGTGTGTGTGTGAGTGTGTGTGTGTGTGTGTGTGTGTGTGTGTGAACATGAGTGGACCTTGTGCTGTGAGCAGACAGGGATCACAGGTCTTGTCTTCAAGCCTCCACTTGGCTGCTTGGATTTGTCTGAAATTGTTTTAAGCCTGCGATAAGGGATTCTTCTAGGGCAGTGATGGCGAACCAATGGCATGCATGCTGCTTGAAAAGATTCGCCATCACTGCTGTGCAGACGACAGATGAGAATGCCTTCTGAAATCTCTTGTAGTCAGGGCAGCCCAGCCTGACTCCCTTTTGGAAGCCCTTGAATGCCTGGCACAGGGGCGCCCTGGCAGGCTTTCAATCAATGCAGGGTAGAACTGGAAGCACCTCAGAAACCCTTCGAATGCTGTAGATGTGGCAAGACAAGGCCTGGCCACTCCTGCTCGGGATGGGAAGCCCTCTTTTAGAACCCCAGGGACTGGGCTCTGTTCATGGCTCTTCACTGGTGGTAGTGAGGGTGGTACCTGAGCCTTTGCTATCAAGAAATTAGAGCTTGGAAAATCAGTGTGGCCTGAGTCAAGCTCCAGGTGCCAGCCCCGGGCCCTGCTGTCCCCAGGGCGCAGGAGAGCAGGCTCCAAGTCTGCTGGGACGGGGCACTTTCTGCTCCTTATGACACCTTCACCCAGGTCCCGGCTCAGTGCGTGCCCATGTGATGCACTCTTCACTTTCTCCACCACAGAGAAAGGCAAGTACCTTGCTCTGGATTTGGGGGGAACTAACTTTCGGGTCCTCCTGGTGAAGATCAGAAGTGGACGGAGGTCAGTGCGAATGTACAACAAGATCTTTGCCATCCCTCTGGAGATCATGCAGGGCACTGGTGAGGAGGTGAGTGCTAGGCAGAGGCTTTTGCTCCAGGGTGGCAGCCTGCTCTCCCATCAGTGCCCGCCTTGCATGACTGTCACTCTCTCTGCAGCTGTTTGACCACATTGTGCAGTGCATTGCTGACTTCCTGGACTACATGGGCCTCAAGGGGGCCCAGCTGCCTTTGGGCTTCACGTTCTCCTTTCCCTGCAGGCAGGCGAACATC